TTTTTTTTTTTTTTTATAAAAAATGCAGCATTAAATGCTACCCATTAATTAAAGATTTTGTTATTTTGGTTTTCAACAAAACCATAAATGTTGCCTATTATTAGGGGCTATGTTGTTTTATTTTTAAAAATCATGTTTAATAAAGGAAATAACTATATATTACCTTAAATTATTGGATAATTAAATTGTCTTGCTTTGTGTCTTTACTTGCTTAATAATATAATTAGTGCTGATTTAATACTCAACTGTTCAAACATATTTTTTAATTTCAAATTAAAAAATAAATATGTATAACCGATAAAAAATTAAATATGTATAGATAATATATTAATTATTTTACAAGTTAGCCCTAATATACAAGTGAAAGATATATGATAACCCTATTGATTTTTAGATTTAAACGAACAGAGTCGTCTGAAAATAATTTATTTAATATCTATGTCCCGTGTACATAGTAGTTAGAAGTAATTAGGTAGAGTAGTCGTACCACGCTTCAAACATGAGTATCCCTTTTCCCTATTCGTTATTATCAAAAGGTTTGAACCGTTGAGGAAACCAGTGCGTAGAATAGAACACTGCACAGAGCAAATGATGAGGCCGAGTTGTACCTTTTTCATACGGCGATTCCTATCTTCTTCCCCAATTCGCCATGAATCAGGTAAATCCCTTTGCTGCTCTCAACCCTCGCTACTTTCTCGTTGTTTCTGTACAAAAGGCGTCGTTGCTAAATTCAATTTCAGTGAAAAAATTAAGAACATTAATGGGTTGGATGATGCTCTTTGCCTGTATGAGAACATTTTGAGAACGAGACCTCTACCAAGTACTGTTCAGTTCAATCAATTGCTCTCGCGTGTGGTCAATCTGAAAGAGTACTCTGCTGCTATTAACCTTTTCAAAGACATCTGCAGTTTGGGGGTTTCAGTCGATGAATACACTATGAATGTTGCTATCAACAGCTTTTCCCTTTTGGGCCGGATCGATTGCGGGTTCTCCGTTCTGGGTTGGTTCTTCAAGCGGGGTTGTTCTGCGGATGAATATACCTTCAGCACCTTACTGAAAGGCCTGTTTCGAGAGAAGAGGATAAACGAAGCACAACAGTTGATAAGGAAGATGGTTGGAGAAGGGCTTTGTGAGCTAGACATTGTAACTTGTGGTATTGTGGTCGACGGGCTTTGCAAGGTTGGTAACACCTCAATGGCCGTTGAATTCCTCAGAACATTGGAAAAAGGGACACTCAAGCCCAATGCACATATATATAACATTGTTATTGACGGCTTGTGTAAGGATAGAATGATAGACTCAGCCTTGGCACTTTTCAACGAAATGCCCGAGAAGGGAATCCCGCCAGATGTCGTTACTTACAGTTCTTTGATAGGTGGTTTGTGTAATTTCAACCGTTGGAAGGAAGTAAAAAAGCTGATGAAGGAGATGGTGTTCATGAAGATATATCCAGATGTGGTCACGTTCAGTACCTTGATTGTTGCTTTATGTCGGGAAGGAATGATGGATGAAGCGGAAGATATAATCGGAATCATGAAGCAGCAGCATGTAATTCCAGATGTCACTTGTTACAGTGCATTAATGAGCGGATATTGTCTTCAAGGGCGTATGGATGAAGCAAGGAATATTTTTGATTCAATGGGTAGTAGCAAGAATTGTACTCCTGATGTTATTAGCTATACCACATTAATCAATGGCTATTGTAGAAAGATGAAGATGGACGACGCTTTGGTTATTTTCCATGAGATGCCCCGTAAAGGGATCAAGCCTGATGTGGCTGTGTATAGCACTATACTGGAGGGTTTCTTTCGTGTGGGCAATTGGCGCGTAGCTCTTGATATTTTCTATGATATTGAATCTGTCGGACTAAAACCTAACTTCTATACATACTGTAATATGTTGGATGGATTATGTAGGAATGGGCAAATCGAGAGGGCTTTATCGTTGTTAGAAGCATTAGAGCACAAGGGACAACATCTTCATAATGAATACTATAACATCGTCATGAATGGTTTGATCAGGTTCAATAAGCTGGATGCGGGTCGAGCTATTTTAGAAGATATGGTTTCGAAGGGGTTGGAATGTGATGTGGTGACCTACAATGTTTTGGTTAAGGGATGTTGTGAAAATGGGCTATTAGAGGAAGCTAAGGATCTTCTTTTCAAAATGGGACAATCAGGTTTGTACCCGGATGAGGTTACTTATAACACTATGGTCCGAGGGAACCTAGCAGGTGGCCGATATGATGATGCAGAAATGTTTCTTGAGGAGATGGTTGCCAAAGGATTCTTGCTAGATTTAAAAACATTTGAGATGCTACTTAGATTATTCGACTCGAAGGAAAAGAGTCCCAAAATATTTAAAATTATTCAGAAGCTGGCGCCTAATAGTTTAAAACAAAAATTAGGAGCAGAGACTGCAGAATAGATTATTTGAGCACTTGTTTTTTAAAAAGGTAATATTTTGATCATTTTTCTTGAATTATGACCGAGATAAATGATTAGTACGAGTTGTAGTGTACCATGCAGTTTGTGCTGGCTTTCTCTGTTATAGTTAATAGGACATGGATGGCAGGCATCACATTGTTGTATTGAAGTGGTTGGAACTTGAGCCTGAACCCTTTGAACTCTAGGAATTAATACTATTTCAAAACAAAGTGTGCAGTGTACCTATTCAATTTACACACAGATGCTGAGTAGCTTCTGTAGCTGGAACAAGTAACTGTTTTTATTTGAAGAACAGATTCACCAATCTATATGTGAAAGGTAGATGAAATGGTTCGACACTTTTGAGTTATGATTTAAATCAATACATAAATAGCCTTTCTATTATTTATCGTACATGAAGGTTTTTTTTATTAATAAAAAAAATATATATCCACTTATAAAAAAAATCCAGTATTTATTAATAAAAAAAGGAGATATTTATGCTAATCCCTATGAAAATTTTAATGTGAATTCATATCTGATGATGAAAAGATATCATTAAAAGAAAGAAAGAAATCCTTCTCGTATTTACATGCCTTTACTCAACAGGTTAAGTTGTCAGTTGGTAAGAAGTTCGTGGATAAATTTATAGGAACACTGAAATATTTTTGGTACAAAGGTTCCAATTTGTCAATGTCTCAAAGATTCAAAGCAGTGGCTTAAACAACCTGCTTTTACTCGGACTATTATTTCGATTATTTCAAGGAATGTGTCAGCAGGATTGGGCACTGGGAGGACACACTGGTTACCGCACCAAATAGTCATCTGCAAGTGCCAACCGATCTTTTAGCCAGAGTGCATGCCCCCAACCTTCACGTAACATTTCTTTCTTTATTCTTTTTTCTGCTTTTAAGGTAGCAGTTTGTAGATAAAATCAAATTTTGCAAGTCAGCCACCTACTTTTCATGCATTAGGCATGGCTAATTGTTAATTTTTCTTTTCACATCATATAAGTTTCATGAACTATTTTTAAGCATTCAATGATAGAATCTTGTTCATGTAATGTTTCAACTATAGCACGAAGAATAAGTTATCATTTGGTATAGAGAGAGAGACATTCAAGATTAATCTGTGGGCAATAATTAAAACGTGTATAATGAGTGTGCTTTCGGCGGGCAGCTGCTGAGAGAATTTGCCAAAGTCATCAGACAATGAAAATTATCTTCCCCTCTTGTCTAAATATAAGTTTGTTCGACAAATATGGTATGAGCAGTGGAGTCCCTCCTGGAATAATTCAAGGAATCTCCAATGTCGTTGCAATTATTCCAGTTTATTCCTTTTTTTTTTTCGAGCTTTCAAGATTTAAAGGTACATTTTTTTTTTTACCCAGGTTCGCCCGTACACCTTATGTAATGAGAATCAGTTTTGCACATTAAACTTTGGCCAAGACCCGTATGAAGAGTGCAATTACGGGATAAACAAGATTGGTGTTGGATGGATTTTTACGGAATTCATGGGCAGCCCAGCTTCTATCAGTTTCATGAATGGATCAACCCTTTCTTGTCAGGTCGGGAAGACACATTCAAAGTTGTGGATGAAATTGTTACTTTGATCTCAAATTTTAGGCACAACCAGCCTTTTATTCTGGTTGGGCTTAGGCTTCTCCCATCTTAAAATTTGGAGCATAAGACCAGAAATCGATTTCTGAGTGATTCAGAAGAAATGGAACTAATTTTTATTTTTTTTACCTGGCTGAATATGATTGGATTAGAAACTTGAAATTGTTATGATTTGTGCTTTTTTTTTATTTATTTATGGGACTGTTAATTGAGTTTGTACTGTGTTGAATTACCCTTGGTGTTGTTTTGATGGAATTCTATAGAAATGGAGATGGATCATGTGTCATAATAACCTTCAAGTGGGTGCATTAAAGTTCAAAAGGCTCTGAAGAAGGTCAAATATCAGGATTTCATTGTCATGGCACTGTTCAAAATAAAATTAATTGTCATGGCACCACTTCATTCCTTGAATGGTCTGCTGCTGTATTCGTAGTGATCACCACATCAAACACAGATGCTAGTATAATTGCACCTATATGTCCTTTTTTTTTAAACTTCATTAGAAAACTTGGAAGAATACATAGTTCAGTAATCAACAGATTACAAACGCCCTATAACAAGATAACTACCCCAAAGAGCTTAACCCGAACAACAAGTCTCCCCTATTACAGCCACCACAGCCCACACCTAAACAAAATAACCAAAACAACCTAAACGACTAACACACAAACACACCACCTTTAAACAACAAGAAGCAAACATAGAGCATAAATCATAAATATCCTCAGTTAGCACTTGCAGCTGTGCGTCCAAAGTAGCCATAGCACTCAAAACTTTAGCTAGCCATTTGTTCTGTGTAAATACCTCCACTGCTTGTCACCTTTCCTCAGCTCTTGGAATAAGCCAGTCTCGAATATCAATCAGCTCTTTTTCCGCAGGCACCTGCTGCTCCTATCCATCAAGCCACTCTTATGGAGACGAGATCGCGTTGGCATATATGGAAAAATATGATCGTTTACCTTCCTTAGTTTAATTATCTTTCCTAGTTACTTTATTACTATGTTTTATTTATCTTTTTCCTAGTTGGTAGGTGCATATTTAATATATTTGGAATTTACTTTTCTAGCAAGATAGGGATTTAGACTTGGACTCTATATATTGTGTCCTTCTCCATTCAAGTTGATTGGATATCTTTGAATAAACTTATCGTATTTTAAGATTTTATATTTTATTCTCCTTTTCGTTTACGCTGCACTACATCAGTTGGTATCCAGAGTTAGCTACGATCCACGATACCACCAAAGAGGAACGATCCGACCGACAACAGACGGGATGCGGCGATCGGAGCCCTCACTCGTCAGCACGAGTCGATGGGTCGCGATATGGCAGACCTAACGGCGGGCATGGAGGATATTCATGAGTCTATCCACACCTTGATGCGACGCGAGCAGACGAACCGTGATGGGCCCGATCATCGGGACGGCGATCCCGGTGGGCAGCGTGGTGGCCGTGGGGGTCGCGGTCACGCACGTTTTGGTGGTGGTCGACGTGCGCCGTGCGAGGAGGAGGGCGGCGACTCTGACGCTACGGAGGAAGAGTATAACCCGTTTGGGCGTGATCAATCTCGTGGAGACAACGACCCGCGCGGCGAATGGCGTTGGGAGAGTGCGTTTCGCGTGGATATCCTAGAGTTCTCGGGTGGGCTGGATGTCGTCGAATTTCTGGATTGGCTTGCTTCGGTGGAGGCGGTTTTTGAGCACAAAGACGTGCCCGACAACCATCGTGTTGGGCTCGTCGGCACGCGACTGCGGGGACGGGCAGTCGTTTGGTGGCAACATCTCAAAGACGAGAGGCGTCTGTTGGGTAAACCTAAAATCGCAACGTGGGCCAAATTTCAGAAACATATCGAGCGGGAGTTTCTTCCGTTCAACTACATCAGTACCACGTATCAACAAATTCATAATCTACGACAAGAAGCTCGGTCCGTCGACGAGTATATGGAGGATTTTTATCGTCTTCTTACGCGTGTCAAGCTACGTGAAACGACGACTCAAAAGGTTTTCTGTTATGTCGGAGGATTGCGACTGGCCATTCGCGACATGTTGAACATGTTTTCCACAGAAACTGTCTCAGCTGCTCATCAACGAGCCTTACTCATTGAACAACAGCAGTCGCGCCGACCCTTGGCTTCGTCGGGTTTTCAGTCGCGCGTCGGAGGAGCTCCGTCTTCATCGCCCGGGTTGAATCGGTCGCCGTTAACGGGCGGTCGCGGCACCTCGACAGGACCGACTGGATTTTCCACGGCTGGAGCATCGACCAGCGTGACAGACGGAAACGGCACAAAGTTGGCTGGAATGGAGGGGTCGCGCGCCGGAGGTGGGCCTCGTTGTTTTTCCTGCAGCGAATCTGGCCACCGTCAGTCCACCTGTCCCCGCCGCACAGGCTCTCGGGCCCTGCTGACAGATGACTTTGACGGTTCGGCGGAGGTTACTTATGATGGACCACCGAAGTTTGATGTCGAGGCCGACCCAGAGGAGGAACATCTGTGTGGTGACGAGGGCCTTGCTTTGGTTTTTCGCCGCTCGTGTTTGTCACCTCGGGTTTCTGACACTACTGAGTCTTTACAGTGTCACCATATTGTTGAATCGACATGTACGGTAAGTGGTCGTGTTTGTCGTTTTATTATTGACTCTGGTTCTTGTGATAACGTTGTGGCCCAGGATGCTGTGGATCGCCTTCAGTTATCGACAGTACCGCATCCTCAGCCGTACACTGGCTTGGATTCAGCGCGGTAACGCCATCACAGTGGACCGTCGGGTGATGATCCAATTTTCCATCGGGCCCAAGTATCGTGACTCGGTGTGGTGTGATGTGGTGCCCATGGACGCGTGTCATCTCTTATTAGGTCGTCCATGGCAATTTGATCGCGCGGTGGCTGTCGACGGTCACTTCAACACATACAGCTTCATGTTTGCGGGAGTTAGGGTGGTCCTTCATCCTTCCCCTCCTCGTTCCTTGCCTCCACCACCGCCACCACATGTTCCTTTATTGTCTCACACCGCCTTTGCTGGTGAACTGCGGAAGGCCCCGTGTGTCGTGCTTCTTTGGGTACTGATATGTCGACCCCAATGGCCCTGCCGGCCGTTATTCAACCGTTGCTTGATGAATTTTTTGATGTCTTTCCTTACAAGCTACCTCCTGGTCTTCATCCGCTTCGGGACATTCGTCATCATATCGATTTAGTGCCCGGTGCTTCTCTGCCTAACCGATCGCATTACCGTATGAGCCTGGCTGAACACGAAGAGTTGAGGCGCCAGGTGGATGAGTTGATCCAGCGGGGGGTTGTTCGTCGCAGTTTGAGCCCGTGTGCGGTGCCGGCCCTGCTCATTCCAAAGAAGGATGCCTCGTGGCGTATGTGTGTTGACAGCCGTGCTATTAATAA